AAAAAACCATTAAATCGATATATCAAATTAGTGTGTAGGTGTAAAGTTTTGAAACTGCATCAAACGTGAACGTAACATCTCATTGAATACTGCAAATGAATTAACATCAAGCGTAATGATGCACAGTCCTGTATTTCCATAAGAATGCCTTGTTCAATAATTCATATTGCGTACGTATAGAAGGACATTCATTCAACTTTGCTTCATGCAGCCATTCATTTTTTTTAAACATACCATGTAACATGCATGAAACTAAGGTTTCCATATCAACATTGCCATTTCAAGCAAGACTTTTTCGAGTTCAACTTAAGTAATTTCAACCCTTCTAAAATTGATTAGTTCCACCCATGAAATATATTTTACGTAAAAATATAATAAATGATGAATTTTTATAGCACTCTGTGGTTTCAGCATAAATATTTAATAATGTGTCTTCTAATTAGAGAACTTTAAAAGAATGAGGTGATAAGGTATATTCTGGTAGATTCATTATATATTCATTAGATTAACAAACCTCTTCTCACCTTAGGCCTTTTTAAAACTAAAAGAACAAAAAGTTCACCCTTGCACAACGTGTTTTAATTTCAGTGAGCTTACTTCATTGTGATCCCTTTTAAAAGTTTAATTTATTGGTATTTAACATGATCGAATGTTAAGAGCTTCCTGTGCCTTGCGTGTGAAATCACTAGCTTCGGAAGAAAAGGGATCAAAACAAAGACTAGAAGCGTTTTAAACACAAGTTGGTTTCAATTAAAGTGGAATTACTTTTCTCTTGAATAATCAAACTCGGTAATCATTTCAATCAAGGCAAAATGATTGACTATAAACTGCCATATTTTAATTCAATGAAAACCACATCGTGCCAAAGCAATTCAACCCAGGATGACCCAGGGTCCACGATTTCACTTTCGAGTCGCACATTTTTGTCTTGATTTACTTCCATCAAATCAAATTGCTTTCCCAGTGGTCACGATGGCTTTTGCATTAAATGGTTTCATATGAAATAAACAGAAAATGTTTCTCGATAATAACGACCTCTATGAGCGCCAAGTTCAAAATATACTGCCCATAGTTCAACAAATCTTCTGGAGGAGATATCTCTAAGGACAGCATTTCTATCCGTTTAATTGATTCTTTATTGCTGTGGAGGGATGGGTCAGAAAGAAATGAACCTTGGCTGGAATATTGATAATATCAATTATTCTTGAACTGTACATATTAAATCCGTAATGAAAATTATATGAACCACTCCTCCGGAAATGAAACATTTTGTGGATCCGATGTGTTATGGTTCAAATATTTTTGGACGACGGACTGAAACTATCAGAGTGATAGACTTCAAGAATTATCAATGTCACAGAATGAAATAATTATTTTTTAAAAAGCTACGTAGATAGCCCTTTCTTTCAGATATCAGCCATTATATATCTTAAACATAGTTTCTAACATCTCCAATTGGGATACTTTCGGTCCGTTGTATGAAAAAAGAATATTATATACCAAATTTCGAGAATTACTTAAGCATCTTGTGTTATCCATCTTTCGAGGCCAGATTAATCTATTAGGGGACAATCATGTGTAAATCTGCTTGCTGGTTGGTTGAAAATTTCATCTTCCACAGAAAAATTGGAAGATTTCACCAACATAATTTACTTTGATCGTATTCAAAGAAAAAAGTCTTTGTGTCAACAGTCATTATTTTGGCTTGAAATTCTTTTGACTTAGCTTAATAAAAATGTATTTTATGCGTAAGAAATAATGAATAAGATACATTAAAACATGAATATTTGTTAGTTATAAAGTGACATGATAATACCACAAAAGCTCTTTATTACAGTCTAACATCTCATTTATATGCATTGCGTTAAACCAAGGTCTATCCTTTGCCATGGAAGATGACAAGAGAAATCATGATGAAGATAGAAGCAGGGGGTCAAGTGTGACTCGACGGGATTTTTCCTCCCTTGATACTTGGGTTAATTTCGACAAATTATACTCATCCGCGCAAATAATTCATATTGACAGTTAATATGAATATCACTATACCAGCTTGATGTGAATACATATTTTTATATTAGCATGTTCTACTGGCTTCTTTCTGGGGTAATCAGCGTAGGTTGCAACCTGATAGGGTTTTGAATTATCTTTTGATGAACCGATGAAAGTCTACTTCTAACAAATGACTTTTTTCTGTTAAGTAAATTCTACAAGAATTGCACTCAGACACGGAAATTTAGAGAAAAATTAGCTGAATGCACTATACCAAGGAGTAATATTTTACTTTCATTATTATGGGTAATTATTCTACAATGTCAATATATTTGTTAAAAGATTTTTCTTATCAATTTTAAAAGAAAAATTGTACTTGATTTTTTCGGAATTGATTATATAACGGGTTCACATCAATGTGTGTGAACAATTTATGGAAAAATCTCTTATTTTCTTGGTAATGTCGTGCCTTCTTTATGAATATCTTCAATGAAGCTTCAATAACCAATGCCTACAATATTCTTATTTCATAACAAAACAATGCCTGAAATAAAAAAAAACGGGTCCTGAAAAGGACCGTTGAAATCTCATGTTTTTCTTTCTTCTTCCAGTTTCTACTTTTCTTCTGTGTTTCTTTCTTCTTATTACTGTAACTGATTCAATAATCATTTGTACATTTGCATTAAACATAATTCAAACTAATAAAATAGTGATAACTCTAAGAATTGTATAACATTTAGATAAATAATAATATTTATCTATTTAATTTTTCCAGCACTGTCATCAAATAATTCACTTAAAAAATTAGTTATAAACAATTCAGTTTCTTAATATTCAAAAAATATTGATAGCATTTATTTGTCTTATAAATGTTTGGAAGCCTCGTGGAATGTATGTACATTCAATTTTAGTTGATTTATTTTTTAAAGAGTCGACATCCACTCATAATTATTAAAACACAATTTCTAACTTTCAATTACCTCATGAAGAATCGCGTGAGTAAGTTTCGACAAGTTGCACGACATTTTCTGATTGAACTCCGAGAAAAAAAAGACAACAAAAGAGTTTCTGGTCAATTTTTACAAATAATAAAGGACAAGTAGTTATTATTTTCATCAAACAGTCACGCAGTCATAGTATTTTCATATAATTCATGAAGTGTACTACAATAACATTTTTAAAAGACAGAATAAAAATATTTGTCTCTTTACCTCAACTTGTGTCGGACCATAATATCATTACAAAAATTAAAACACAAAATTGCAATGCTATTGTAACTATACAGTTAAATAACTATCAGGAATGATGCAGTTCGTGGCATACTTCATATACGGACAAATGTAAAATATCTGACAAATGACCACCAATCTGAACATCAAGCTTATATTTTCAGTCTTAATGGTCTGAATTGTTATCCAGTAATTTAGATCCAGTCGTAAATAACATAGACTGTCAACCTTTCCCAGTTTTCAATAGGGTAAAGTTCTCTTAATGTTCATTAGTTATTCGTAATATTGGATTTTGTCTCCGACTAGTATTTCAGATGAAGAAACTCAACTTTCGTCTAGAGAATTTAACAAGCTTTAATCACGAGTTTGAAACTGGCAGATGATTGTAATTGGTCTCTTTACTTTACATTAATCAGAAAACCACAGACACTATCAACAATGTATCAAACTTTTTGTTACATCAAATCATGAATATAAAGCACTTAATGTTGACGTGAAGCTCTTGTGATTCGATGTTAAATGCATTACAAGGAATAAGAATCTTAAATTGCCGACATGTTTACATAAGTATAGTAGCATCATTTTGTGAACACTCAAGTAAAAAAATTCAATGTTTTTCAATGATCTAACTCACGATACACTCTATTTAATATACACCTGAACCTTAATAAACTTATGGTATATTAAACGACGTGGTCTATTAATTACATGGTCTTGTACAAAAATACCACAAAAAGCAATTTGTTCATATTCACAGAATTGCAACCATGTTACCCAATATTGTAACACATTGAAGATTTCTGACTGACAATGTAACAGGTTAACTTTCAGACATAATACACGTAAAACTAGGTGTCCATAAACAGTGTTTAATATTACTTTAATATCACAGCATTATTAACAAAATTGGTTATTTTCCACTTTACATTCATTTTAAGTACATAAACGTTTATAAGACGATAAGATACCATTAGACATTGACCCAGACATGCTAAGGTCAAAGTATATACATACTTACTATATACCTGCTGACCTACTTATGAAAAGCTCTATATACCATATCACTGATAAATATCTACTTATTCTATTTGTTCAGTCAATGGTATCCAATGGTCTTTATTTACCACATAATACACTCGAGTTTGTTTACGTTTCATTACATATTACTATGCATATAAAGATCCATATGTTGTTGAGAGGGATATATTTAAAGAATACAGGTAATATCAGAAAAACAAAACAATTAAATTAATCAAACATATTGGCATGGTGTAAAATTTAAAAATTATGTATTGGGGCATGTTAATTTGTAAACCATATCAAAAGATAAATTTAAAGTACATGTAAGGCAGATAACAAAAGTGCATTCATGTATGTAAATTCAGCAACAATTAAAACAGGGAATGATTAAAAATTACCTAATACTAGACATTTTCAACCTTGATAAAACATAAACACCGTTTAAGACTGAAAAATCAACTCATGATGACCCGAAAAGGATACCCTTAATTTAAATTCTTTAATCATTGAAACTAACTCTTGTGGCAGTCTTTAATGATTAGAACTTTCCCGGGCAGTTGTGATTGTAAATGTAGATTTATTAGTATAAACTGAAAGTCACTCAAAAATTGCTTCCAATAAGTTGGCACTTTCATTACAGGCTTCTAAATGGTTGAACATTGATGTATGAAAATATATCACAGGTAAATTGTCACAAAAATTGTTAGCTTCAATGTTCGTCCATCACAATATTTCTAGATCTGACATAGCAGTTATAGGCTGCTAGCTACTTAGTTTTCTACGCAATAGTAACTTTGGTTCATGGCACTGTTGGCTTGAGGCAGAGGTAGATCTTTGTTTGGTATTTCTGACCAGTTGTTTACTATTCATGTGTGATGGTGAGGACTCACAATATGTTTGTCCACGCAAAAGAGGACGTTTCTTCCATGAGGAGGCACTAGAAAAAATTGGTTTTTGGTTTGAAGGCTGAGTTCCAATCTTTTGTTGCTTGGCTTTGTCTCCAACTTCTCTAATTTTCTTTCCAGTATTGTACTTCAAATATGTTCTGTCTCTTGGTACAGAAGGTGGTTTATGGTGGTTGTTTGATAAACCAAATCTTCTGGCTGGTGGTTTCTGTATAAAAGTATAATATGAAGTAGGTGTCACTGAAAACCTCCAGGGAACAATAATATGATGAACAATTAACAAACATTATGGTACTCATTTCTTTAAAAAAATACATCAGCAGCAGAGATCATCCATGCTGAACAGTGTGCTTGGTCAAACAGATTAAAGGCATCACTGAAAATGTAATTTTACCAAGTGCTCACATATTTACATTGAAATGAGTTTGAACATGCATGAAAAATCAAAGTTGGCAGTTTGAAAGAAGAGATATTTCATAATGCTATCAATCTGTTTCACATGATATAATTACTTAATACCTTCCTGGCAAAAAACAATAAATATAATGAGATGATCTTGAATTACTTCTTAATTTGCAAATCTTTGGTTTCAATTTTACTGTACTTACACTTTCTGCATCTGAAAGACTTGATAAATGTCTACTTCCTGGTACAATGGCCTCATACAATACTTTCAACCTTTGTTTCTTATCCTCTGATAATTTATCAGAAGATCCATGTTCAAATAAGTCATCAAATAAGGTCTTCAATTTTAAATCATCTACAGCTTTCAATTTCATGTCCCTTTGAGAGACAAACACTCGCTCTTTATACAAACTGTCTTTGGATTTCACTTGAAAATCTAATGAAATTTTGGAATTTGTATTATTCTTAGAGTTGGTAATAATCTTTTCCGATAGTTCCGAATTTCTATTTTGTGGTTCATTCAGTTCTTTTTGATCAGCACAATCTACAGAGTTATTTGTCTTTTGGGAAAGAAGAAAAAAAGCTGGTTTACATTTTCCATGTTTATTGGTATGAGAATTTTGATTGGCACTATTGTCAGATTTTATCAGGGAGTTTCCATGAAATTCAATTAGGTAGTGAACACTTCCAGCCTTATTGTTATTAGGAGAAACAAGAACCTTTGAATCAGCAGGTATAACTTCAGAAGTAGTAGCTTCAGTGGGAAGACTTGTCAATTGTGAGGTTGCTTCGTGGCACTTATTTTGGATTTTGCCAGGATTACAAATTTTGGTTGATTCATCAACATTTAAACAAGTATCTGTAAATGAGAAATTTGTAAAAAAAATGTATACAAAGAAATATTTTGACTGGCTAATCTTTTATGAAATGTCAAACAATAAAACAGCCTTTATATATATTGTTCAAGATAATATGTGAATTTGATATTAAAACCTAAATAATTGTCAGCTCTTATCCAGGAATTCATGTGACATCCACTAATTTGCATATTATATGTTAATTTATGCAACCTTTGACAATGGTTCATTTATCACCAACTCATAACCCAAAAAGTACAGTTTAAGTACAGGTTGAATAATAATATGCTTTTTTATGCTATTTAAACATTTATAACCTACTGTTTGACATCTATAATGGATATGACAACTTTTTGAATGTAAAGTGGAAAACATTCATATCAAAAGAATATAAAATACTGTCTATTTCTAAAATGTCAGAAAAAAGCAACAAGGATATCACAAGATTACCATACCATATATCTTGTCCATATGAACATAAATATATCCTATCTTGGCTCAAATTGTTAAAAGGTATCTACAGAATAACATGTTAATAATACAAATTCAAACAGTTGTGAAAAGTGCACGAAATGCTACAGTTTACAAAATGACATACATGATATGTAAAATGAAAAAGCTTAGATACAATATAAAAATACAATCTATTACATGATTACATGACAGTAAGAAAGAATATGGTTAAAAAGCAGATATTAAATTAAACTAGATGGATCTCACAAAATTAATATTGTTAAGACTGATACATGCATTTTTCAAGTAGAAGGAAATATACATAAATACACCCTTAAGGATGTATATAAAAGCATGGTAGAACTTGTATAAAGCAAGTGGCAAAGGAAAATGCTTGAAATTGGCTGCTAGCTAGAGGTGGTTTGGTTAATGAAGGGCCATGCAGTACAGAGATCTAAACCTAGCTATAAAAAAAGAGGATCATCTATATCAGACTATTCATTTGTGGTTAGTAAGCACAGTAAGCTAATGTGAATGTGCTGGGTATGGTATAGAACAGAGCCACTACAAGCAACAGGCTTTGTCAGGAATGAGGGAAATATATTTCACTTTCAGAATGTTCTATGGCAATCATCAATAAATAAAATCTGTAAAATCTTTTGGAAGTTTTTGGGGGGATAGGAGTTTCAATTTTCAAATATTCTTTTTGTACATATACATGTACACTCATTCCTGTTTTTGTATATGCAGTGCATGTGATAAGAGTGAGATGCAGAAGATACAGAAATTTCTCTTACTACCCGGAGGTTCTTTTGATTCATAAAATTCACCTATAGTTTGTCTGGAATATTTCTTTTTGGCATTGGAATGTAAATGGGACACTGGGGGAGGCGACACCAGCAATGTATTACCATTTTCATCTTCTTTGGTCTTCTGAAGAAGAAGAAACAAAAAAAGAACATCTTCTTTAGTAATCAATAATTATTTCAGACTTGATTAACAATAGTCCTGTGGTAATTCCTTTTTACAAATTCGTCATAAAATCCGTAAGATCACAATGAAAATATTGAATCAACATAAGTGGATGCACATCACTCAAATTTGCAAATAAAATCAAACTTTTGAAAGCAAAGTAAAAAACATTTAGTATGTAACATAACTTTGACAGGATTAGAGTCTCCATAAAATTGTGTCAAAACCAGTTAGAAACCTTAGAAAGTGTAAATGTCACTTTACATCTATTCATATTTCAAATCATCAAAGAGTTAATGTCTCATATAATTTAGTTAAATGTTACTAATTGTGATGATAAAATTTATTCTATTTGAAGATCAAAATATCATTGAGATCAAGATACAAACAAAATCAAATTTACAAACATGAATAAACTGTTGAAATTTCATGTTTATTTCAACAATGTTCAAACTTTGATATTTTTTTCTGCTTCTAGATATAAAGTAATAACTTATCATTAAGTTTTATTGAAATACTGGAATAAATTGCACATTAAAACTTAATGGTTGTAACCAAATGCCAAATTAACCACTATTTGTACATATTTCAACATTTTGATTATATCTTGTTAAGAGGAAAAGTGGAAAACTTCGTCTTGTTTACTAGTCAGATTTAGAGCTTGTTTTCTCTTTTTTCAAGCCAAACTGACAAATCATCAATATTTAGCCTGAACTTAGGTCACAATTGTGGAGAGCAATTAACGCAAAATGTCCATCACATAAAATTATTACATTGACATTCCAACCTAACTACGTTTCACAATTTGACAAATTTCCTTAAGTGAGCTAGAGTGTGTATTAAATGCTTCAATAAACAAAAGATAATTCTGGTCAGCAAGCAAGAATCGATGCATGAGAGACACTTTAAAATTATTAGTGGTTCTTTTCTCATCAATTTAACAAATCTTGTTTGTGAATTGATATCAAGTAATGACTGATTGTGGTTTCGGAGTTTTTAATAAAATCATTCTGCCTTTGTGATGTATAAAAATTATGCACTTCAATATTATCAAAATAGGTTAATTCTTAATAATATACTGTTTAGATATGATTCCATGACAATAACTATTAAACGCCAGTATGCTTTTAGGCAAAAATTAATCTAGACAATTTCAGCTATATTTATATAAAACAGTAGGAAACATTCAAATTTTTTTAAATAAGATACAATTTATTGAAATTAATAATAAAGAGTGAAATTTTAGTATTCCAACTCATCGGGAGGTAATATTTGTATACAATTAAATTAACAATGATCAGCAGCTACATCAGAGAGTTTCTATTCAGTATCAGTGATCATGAATTTTATATTGAAAATTATCACTTTTATTATAATTATAGAAACTCGTCAAACATTATGTTTATTTTTATAACTAATATTTACTGTTTTTTTGTGTCATTCTAAAACAGAGCCTAGTTCTACTACATTTCTTTTATACTCAGTGTAGTCGTTTGGTCCGAGTGATTTAATGTCTGTTTTGGACTATAACTTGTTGTTATCATGAAGGACTGACAAATAACAATCAATAAATTTCCATATCTAAAAAAAAAATTTCTGTATTTCTTTGTCATTCTAAGTTAAATTTGCAGACAAAATTCAGAAGATTTTATAATTTTCCTAATTGAAATTAAACAAAAATCTTACTAGATTCATGTCTGTTATTTCTGGTTTTAATTCAACTGCTTCAATGCTTTCTGTCTCTGATGTACTTTCATCAGTCAAAGAGTCAGTATTTTCAATGATTGTGGTTTCTGTAAAAATAATACAAATTTATAAAAATACAAATACTCAAAATTATGGAACAATTCAAGAAATATGGTGCTCTCAGGTGAAGATGAGTTAAAGTCAGTAATAGCTTGTTGCTTGTTCTCATTTCCTTTTGACTATTAACAGATCTTCATTGTTGAATAGTCTACAGGACATGGTCCATCAGTCATTGAGATCACCTGAATGACTATAAGGTTTTCCACATCAGCCTCTTAAACTACATGAAGAGGAAAGCAGAATAAATCACCAATGCTGTTAATTGTCTCACCTGGTCTGCCTGTTAATGCCATAGCATGCCAGCCACCACATTTAATAAGGCTTATATCCTTGTAGTCACCATTCATTAACACCGGTTCAAATTGTTTATGGGATGTTTTCTTAGTGGCATTTATAGTATCATTATTTTTACCCCACATATACAACTGGCCACATTCTACATAAAAAAAAATGTTGAAATATAAATGAGAGAAAATATCAACTGAAATTTCAACCTTGGATTGCTTCCAAAGCAGGAACCTATTAAAGAAAAGGTTGGCATATTTATTCCTAATTTAAGAATCAATGATTTATGAAGAAGTTCAATTATATACTAGTACTCACGAGTTAAAGCTGCATTAAAAGATTCACCACAGGCAATTACAACTGTGTTTCCAAACAAATTTGGATCCTTTAATCTCTTTGGTGCATCTATCACCAATTTCTTAGACTTGCCCAATTGACCATCAATACCAGAGCCCCATACATATATATGACCATTTTCTACAAGAAAAAGTATTACCAGAATAAAATTCATTATCTGCTTAAAAAATTTTAAAATAAAATTAAGTATGATCTGAAAAAAATTTCCATGGATGTTTCAAACCTAAAAAACACAGAAAAATTGAAAGATTTCTTGTAATCATTTCTGTATTGGTCTCTATCTTCCTTAAATAATCTATCAAAAATAAAATTTGCACAACAATTTGCATAAATATTCATAATTTTTTAAGTTATTTTGATATTGCACTTTTTTTTACCAATAAAGAACAAATCACAGTATAGCATGGAAGTTTGACACATACAAGACCAGTAATACAAACTGTATAGCATTCCAACATCACAACAGAATAACAATCTTAGATAAGATTATCAACTGACCATGTAACATGATTATATAACATTATCAATTAAAAGCCATTTCAGGTCAACCATAACAGATTGGAGGTTTACATCAACATAGACTTTATTTGCTTTCCTACTAACAATTATCTAAGCATTGCAGCTTCATATTTCAAAATCTTCTAGTATTTTAGAAAATTTCAAGAAATGTATTTTTAATATAATAACCAGTATGTTATAATTATTTAAAAAATTCATTCAACTTGTTGGTTGTAACTGAAGTTTTAGGTGTGATGAGTTCAAACCAAGGTTCTTTTTAACAAATATTGTTTTACTGTCATTAACTTGACTGTACCTAACATGTGTGGTGACATGTCTTAAAACAAACATGAAAATATCGGTTTTGGTCAAACTGTACAAGTCTTTTTTCAACCTTGTTTTTTTTTTTGTGAACTTGTTAAGTATGTTTTAACTGAATCACTGATTATTGCATCTAACATATTTTGTCCTTTGCATATATTTTTTTCAGCATTTTTTATTAGAAATTCTCTTCAAAATAAATTTTTGTTCAATAACAATGCTATAAACCCAATAATGAACTGATTATATAATTTAACAATTTTTAAATCTTTTTAAGAAAATATTTCCTACTAATGATACCTTACTAAAAGAAATCTGTGTTTTAAGTTGGACTGAAAGAAGATAAAAACTCCTTTCATTATTTCATCAAAAGGAAAAGCGAAATAACTACAGTTATCAGTCAACATATACATTGGTTTCAAATATTCTGTTCATGTGACCTAAAAATAAAAGTAAATTCATGAAAGAGCCCAAATTAAACAATAAACAGAGAATTAAAGCCTCACACATACGCCATGGCTTAACATAGCAAATCCACTTAACAGCATCTTCACCTCTACCTGCTTTTGTCAATATAGATAGCTTGTTGAGAGGTCCGTGTGTGCGCTTTGTCAACTATACTTTTATCAAGTGAAAATGCGTTGCAAAGACTAGATCGCAAACAAACAGTGACTGAGCACACACATAACAACGGCCATACTGCCGAACAAATATTAGTTTTTGAAATGAACACAAGACAGCAGATCAGAGAAAAAAAATGACAAACGTAAATTTCAGGTGAATAAAAGATATCACGACTCACAAAGTTTTCTCAAACGACCTTGTTTATTTCATGTCCTAGGAGCATGCCTTACAATAGGTAAATGAGTCGTAAGAAGGGAAAAGGGCTTGGTATTAAATAGAAATAAACAATCTTCAATAATAATTGGGAGATTTCATTTCAAGCGTAAATTTAGCACTTGTTTGTGAGAGGTGTCAGGTCACCTCTTTAATCCACTAACATTTCTATGAGAGGGATATTAGAACAGAATGTACCATGCTAATCTTTCACAACCTTGCTACCAAATACAAAGCCTAAATTTCAGATACTCATAGCATTGGAATTGCATATCATAGAATATATTTAATTTTAAAATTTTTATTTAAAAGTATTGATAACTTTGTTAGTTTTTATTTTAGAGAGTTTTTTCTCTGACGAAATAAAAAAAAGACATCTAATCCATTTGCATCTATTAGTTTTAAAACTGTTTAAACCTCCTTTCTGCATGTAGAATTACAAACAGCAGAAAATCTTTTGTTGAGTATAAAAAACAAATAGAAAGTTTGTGAAATGAAAGTGGAAAACTAGAAATAAAGTGATACAAATAGAGAGGTAATTGAAATTTAACAAGGGTCTGTAATGCACATTATATTGAAATGCTGATAGAAAAGATTTAAAAGAGGTTTTAATAATAGATTTGATGGTACAGATTATACTTCTTTATCTTTTAAAACATCAAAGCTTAACTTTACTGACAAACTTAATAAAAGAAATACAATGGTATGGCTTGGTAACTCTCCAGTTTATTGTATACACAAACTGATCAGGTCTGGAGGGAGAGAATAATAATATGACCAGTAAGTGAATGACCAGGGTCAGAGTGGCTTTCAACAAGTTCCCACACTGGACAGTGGTCAGTTTTACCCATCAGGCAGGTGCTTGAAGTGACCAGTCCTCTAATTTCAAATAAAGCAGATATAAATTTACTGCACTGGAATGTCAGGGTACTTTGGCCTAAGTGAAACCAGGTGGTAAGGGCATGACATGTTCTGACTGACTATAGAATATTTTTAGAGGGTTTGAGTAAGGTTTCTGGCCATTGGTCAAGAGTTCACAGACCCATGGCCTTGGTGGTGACCCTATTAGGTGACCTTTAGTCCTTGCGTCTTTGCTTTTGATTAATTCTTTTAAAAAGTGTAGTGGACACAACAGAAGGGATAAAAATTTGAACAAAACAAGAGATTTAATTGGACATTTCTCCATCATGACTTTGACATATAATGATAAACTTTGGACATAAAGAATGGCCAGTGGTCATCCACTATTGTTCATTGATAACAAATTCCTTATAAACAAACACACCATCTGATAAAATGTACATTTATTTCAATTACTCATTACAAAAAAAGATCAAAGTGATAAGAGAAAAAATGAGGGTTCTGTCCATGTGTAATCTGAATATTTAAATAATAATTGTACATGGTCATTTTCTGATCATTTTTCAATTGTACATCTGTTATCTTTATGGAAAGTAAACAAATACATTCTTTAGGAAAAACAATACTCTAAAAACAAATTGATCATGACAAATTTTGACTGACCGTCAATTTTTTTCAGATTTGTTCAAATGGGGAAAGGCCTTTTTACTTTGGATATTTGCTTTAGCTTTGGAGGCAATCCCCCACCCCTAAATAAGGCTTCTGTCATTTTTGTAATTTTGGTGCATTTAAGGTACCAGTATATATTATACGAAATTCATCATTATATATCTATTTTGAAAAACAAACATCAAAGATTTGTGGAGGAGACCAGATGTTTAATGACATCCTCTATAATATACAATTCTTTAGGATAATATCATAAATAGCATTTATTACAACTATTTCATATTAACCTACTATAATTGGGCCATTTAAAAAAGGTCAAAGATCATAGTATAGTTATAAAATAATCATTTGTTTGATTTTCATAAAGTATCAAAACACATCAAACAGCTGTTTGAAGCACCCATTTCAGATTTTGCTCTCTTTTACTGTTATAAATTAGACTGAATTTGAATGATTTACCACATTTCTGGTCACATATATACAGAGAACATGTTCAGAAAAACTTGAAGCAATGACTCTGATGAATATTGCTGGGAAACAAATTATTGTCTTTATGTCTTCAACTGTATGACAGATATAGATAAAGATGTTTTGTAGGTGGAAGAGGGTGTAGATGACTCAAAAACATTTTACAGAAAAACATCACAGGACAAGTGAATAGATAGATCATGGTTGACTCATCTCTATTCACACATGTGCTGGCATTTCTCTTCTAGTAATTGCTTGAATCATTGTAAGATACTTTAACTTGTTGACAATTGGCACTAATTGCACAAATTGCTATGAAATAATATAAAATTTGTTTGCACCAAGCTACTCGAGGTGATGGTACTTATTAATGAAATAAATTGCTGTTTCTTGCTGCTATACATGAACTTATAACATTAGTTATTTAAATTCAAAGACGAATGAAACTTTTTCCATGAGAAAAAATTTTTGAACCGCCAAAATGGAGACATAAACGTAGACATTTACATAGCGATGCGTGTAAACCCATATATTATGAAGACTCGTTTTCTAAAAGTACCGTTCAAGAGTTTAAACACTAGGGTTAAAAAAAAGACTTAATAGGAACATTTCTGTTGATCCCGTGGTAACATATTTTAGACATTGATGTATTATTCATATTAAAACAAGGGCTGAAAGTATTTTTTAAAAATGAAACCAAGATATTTCAGTATTTGACAGCCGGTGACTATAGATATTAAGTACTGTAGACAACAAGAAAAAAAATAAACAACAAGTCAGAGGTGTTAACACTGAGGTTCACCTTTTCACCTAGAGGCCAGACAACTTGTTATGAGTGCTAACAGACTGTATGATAGATGTTTTCTTTCACAAAACTTCATATATATCATAAAGTCACTGAGTATGACAATTTACATGGTTACAATTTTCCTGAAATTTAAATCTTGTACTTCATGCTAAGCTTAAGTCAAAAGTAATACATGAAAATTATTTCGATTAACCTTTTCGAGATGGACATTGGTACCACACAATCTGCTTACATCAGTGAAATATTTGTGCAATGACGGCTCGAAATTAACTCAGTTATATAAGAATCCATGTTAATTTTTCTTATTCATATTGAAGTCTCGTGGTTCGTGTATTTTACTGGTAAAACTTTGAACTTCTAACCAAACATCAATATAAGTCATATAAATACTAGTATATTATTAGAATGATGCTATTAATTATTGACATAAGTGATTTTAACTGTGTTAGTATTGAGGTATTATTTTAAAATATGGTGTCAGTGTTTTTATATCACTTGTCAAAACAACATGCCAATATACAGCTAACATAGACTTCCTGTTTAAATGGAGCCAAAATTGTAGGTAGCACCACCAAGACCTTTCAATAACAAGCTACAGAAATGAATGGGGAACTCAGTAAAACTGAATGAAAATAAACTCAGGATTCTATAAACGAGA